ACACTTATCTGTGTGATTTCATCCGTAACACCTTCTCTACAGCCCCATCACAGATATACTGTCTCAGACACACAAACTTCTGGAGGTGTTTTGGAAAACCATGTGTGTTAGTAATAGCACACCAGAAAGTTTAGTCTTCACAAAAGGGCAACATAACAAGTTACACGATGAAGTAAAGAGAGGAGAAATGGTAGAAGTATGGATATTACACAGTGTTCCCAAAATGATCAAAACCACCAGACTGATCATTTATCTTTTATATCAGAGGAGACCTGTGAAATAAACAACCTTATATTGGAATGATATGTTATGGAATGGGATAATGTAATATAAATTAAGCCTCCTGCTCACATCCCATATGCAGCAACCATTGTCAGACAACACGTGCAGCACTGAGAGCAGTGGGCAGAACATGACTACAAAACCCCTCCCGCCCAGCGGCTACAAATGGGGGTGCCTTGTGAAAAGCACAGGAGACTGCCCAGAGGAACACACACAGAGGTTCTTTTACTGTGAAATTCCCATGCCAGGAGCAAGACAAGAATCACTTCCTGCTGTCAACTTTAGGATCAAGTTGTAATCAAAGATTCTGACAAACGACTCCTGTGTTTTCTGTATTGTGTACTGAGTATGGAAAGTGTCCTTCGTTTCACTAACACATCCATGCCAAGATTGCTTTCTCCCCAGTCTCTGAGCAGTGGCAAATTCTGCCTCTAAGCTGAGAGCCAGACATCTCTGTCAGCGCAGGGAGATCCTGACAATTCCCCAGCATTGGGCTCAATTTGTGTGAACCCACAAAGCAGGACCAGGCATAGGGAGGTGCTGCAGAAGAGCTGGAGCATCCACAAGACCCTGTGCCTGGGCTTCTGCAGCAAGGCAGGACCCCTAAGCCTGCAGAACAATCTGGTGTGGTGCTTCCTTCCTGTCTTCCTTCAGATTTGAGTCCACAACTGAAGCCCAGAGCATTACCACTGAAGAAAGAAGGCTTACATTACACCAAGCAACAGAACCTCCTGAGAGGCAAGAGCAGCACAGTTCAGCACAAAGCTGTTCAATCCTAGTCTGTGCTTACTGCAGCACAGTATATATACATACATACACACTGCTATGTATACATTGCTATACAGTATATGTAAGTATACAAAAAATAATATATATTTTGGTATTTAATTGAGCTTTATATTTAAGAGTATACATAGTTTTTATATTTATATTGTCAGTCAATGGAGGACCTCCCCATGCTGTTACAGAAAAAACAGAAGCATAAGCAGAAGTTTTTCTGAACACTTCACTGCTTAAGACAGTGACTAAAATATGAGCTTTTGAGAAAGCAAAGTAGTGTAAAACAGAACATTCTTATACGTGGTACAGTTCTTCCTGTCCTTTTTCCTTATTGATCTCATTTTGCTCCATTAAACTTACTGTAGTAAACTTCTTGTTCACTACATTAGGTCTCAACATCAGAAGTGGCCGCAGTGAGCAAATGAGGAGAGGAGGTAGAGGCAGAGAAATCCTCCTGTGGATGTCTCAGCCACTGTTCATATTCTCACATCACTGAATTGCCAGAGACACTGTCAAAATGGAGTCAAGCCCAGGCCTGTGGATGTAGAGCCAGAAGTAATGCCTGCAGGTTTACATCCATGACGTTCTAGGATCAAAAAAGGACTTTTCACACACACACAGACACCCCCAAATGAACTGCACTTGCAGGAGCAAATTACATTCTCATGGGCTTGTCTTTCAAACAGACCTTTACTTCCCAAAGCTAGACACAGAACCTTGGAAGAGGCAGCACACTGCGTGCCAGGTCCAGTGGCAGTGCCACCCTGCAGGCTGCAACTCACCAGTGCTCCTAGGGGACTGAATCTCCAGTACATGAGGGGCCTCTGAGAAGGTGAACGGGGGATGAACTCTCTAACAAAAAGATACATTTTTTTAAAATGAAATACTTCATTTGTGAAAGTGCCTTTCGATCATTCTAACCTTTGGGTTTAACCACTCTAGTGTCTCCTGCCAAGTGTGGTTCACTGATGGCACATCATCACGGCACCAGGAATGGACTTGTTGATAAGTTAAATAATGGGACTACTTTCAGACCAATTTTATAGCTGAAAATTCTTGTGGCAGAGAAGAGTCATCAATACAGCTATTTCTCTGCAGAAAACTGTTATTTTTCTGAGAATAACTTTGAATGCTGCAGCTTTTTGGGAAGAGGGATATTTGTCAAATCAAACCCTGCTTCCTTTCTTCCCCCAAAACACTCAGCTTGTATTAACTGGAACAACACCAAATTTGCAAATATATGTATTCAGACAGGTTGTAAGTTTAGCCAGAGCATTTGTATGTTACTAAATCCAAACAAAGATCTAAAGCAAAGACATAAAATATCATGCACACAAAGTTCCAGAAGATACGGACTGAGATTTTTAGAACTGAGTAAGGGACTCAGTCACACGAGTTCGAAAGAAATTGATTAACTATGTGGTGGATAATCTCAGTTTATATGCCAAGTAAATTCCTGATATAACTACATTGTCTTCAGTGGAGTTGCACTGCAAGTGTTTTTGACAGATTGTCATGTTTATGCTCCAAGAATAACTTCTAAGGCAGAAAGTTTAAACATGAGTGAATGAAAGTCCTGTGCTAAGTTCTACCCTGATTTATGCCCTGTACAAAACAGCTGACTTGGAAGCAGGGGCGTAAGGAAAGGCATAAAGAGACATGAGTCTGTTGTTCCTTTGCTGGGATGGTACATCAATTCCCTTAGGTAATGGTCATGTCTCAGAAAAACACAGCAAGAGTCCAGAACGCAGTTCGGTGGAGACTCTTTCCTTCTAAGCCTGCAAGTCGTCGCATTTCACAAGCAGTAAGTGTTCAGGGAAGAGCCTGGACTAGTCTGAGTGGAAGGCCATGAAATTCATTCCTATTAACTACTGCATCAATCAATGGTGTGCCCCGCGGGGCTGGCTCTGCTCAGCCTGCCCAGCTCCTGCAAAACGCTTCTGCTCTCCTTCAGGGCAGTGCTCACAGCCCCTCCTAGAAATCTCTTCACTTCCTGGGGGTCTGCCCTTCACTGGGCCTGAGCAAAGCTTATGTGAGTTCTTTATTACCAGCAGTGCCTAGTGCTGAGGCTGAGCTCCCTGCTCACTGCCATCTGCCCTGTGCATTGCAGCCACCTCCCACCCTTCCTTTCTTCTCTTCAGCTGCCTCCTGCACATGTGATTATGTGGTTATTATATATCTCTGGAGCTGCACTCCAGTTCTACTTTTCCTTCTTACAGTTTGTCACCTTCTCACCACCTTCATTTGGGCTACCTCCGAAACCAGCTCCTCTTTTCCTTCAGAGCTGCTGCTCTCTATCACCTGTCTTAGTGCTTGACAGACTTTCTTCTACCCTCGTCCATCATTTTGACCCTCCTCTCCAGCAATTTCCATCTACAAGTACCAGGTTATCATAACTAAGTGGGCCAATTTTTAAGTATAATAATAGCTCGTCAGGTTCCCCCACTCTCTTCTGCCTTTCCTCCTCCTTTATTAGCTACTCCAGGTCCAGGCCCTGCAACACTGGTAGCACATCAGTGCTTCTCCTGCACAGTACGGCTGTGAAAGAAGAAAGCCTTTTAGAATCTGTTCTTGATAAAGAAATTGTAAGAGAGAATCTATTACTAGCAATTAAAGCTTTTGAAACACTAAGCCGTTTAAACTATTCCAGCTTAGCTAAAAAGAGAGGAAAAGAGTCCTGATGCAACATCACCATGGATGGAAAATAAGCTGCACAGAGATTGTCTTGTATTATAATGGCATCCACATTAAGGACTATGACTTGAAAAGTTACTTTGGCTAAGAGTTGCCACATCTGCTTTGAAGGCCAAGGAGAGCATTTTTGCAAAGGCTAAGAAAAAAGCAGTGTAGGATTTCCTAAGGCAAACAGAAACTTAAATAACACCAATTTAAAATTTCTTCTTGTGCGTTGATCTCATTTCCTTAGGATCAGCTTATTACCCCTCCAAGTCTGAGGCAGAGTTAATCTTCTTAAAACTAATGTTCTGATTGTCTGATTAAGCAGATCTTAATTCATAAGACTTTTTTCTGCAGACTGGTGCTTTCTCCTACTCTTGGGCACAGAAATGTGAGATGTAGGACATTCTCAGGGCTTTCATTTCGAGAAGGGTCAGAACTCGCTTTAGCTGTTATCTTTTACTGTCCATCTACCACCAAAAGAAGAATGGAATAATCCTACAGGGCTGATGGCAAGGAAAATTCTTCCTCTAGCTGTATTTGCTACAAACATAGCTAGTGCAGTGATATCTCTGGCTTCATTTTGGAAATGCAGAAAGGATTTTGAACCCTTGGCAGTGGGAAATAGTTCACTTGCCTCACTAGAAATCCAAAGCACTGCTTAGTTTTCAATTCAAACAGAATCAAAGTCTATGAGTTGGTTTTAAAGGGGATGGAAGGATAAAAAAAAAATAAGTAGAAGAACATAAGTAGCAAGATCTGAACCTATAAACTGAAACCAGGAACTAGCTGTCCAGGGCTCCAAAATCTAAACTTTTCTTTCTACTTCTGCCAGTCGATTAATTGCTGACCATTGGTTTAAAATATTACAGCTGTTTGCTTCAAGTGACAAGTAGGCAAAACATGAAAGTTAGATTGCTACAGGGAAGGCATGCCAAAATAGGTATCTAGCCTTTATGTCTGCCTTGCAAAGCTCAGTCTGAAGGGGAAGTCCTCAAGAATGAAACTATTTTGCCTAGTTTTGAAGCATCAAAGCAACCTGGTGCACAAACTGCCAACCCTTTTTCCACTGGTTATAGGAAAACTAAAGCATCCAAAGCAGTGAGTTTTTCCAAAGGCCATCTGCTCACAGCATTGTAAGTGGGGTTCTTTTGGCTTTTTAATGGTAGAAGCTATTGTGACAAAAAAAAAAAAAAAAAAAGTGGATAAAAATAGAGAGCACCATCAAAAACCTCACTGAACTCTTTGTCCTGCATTGTTACATGGGTAAGTGATTAATGCTGTCAAGAGTTTAGGGTTTATTTTGATTTTGTTTCCCCCCTCCAAAAGTGTAAAGTGGGTCACAAATAGTGACAAGTTCTCAAGTGCCACATTAAGTGACACTGATTTCTGCTCACAGTCCAGTGACACAGAGAAAAGCTTGCTGGGAAAGCTTTAAAAATCTGATGTGTTGATGGCTTGTGCTTCTCACACGGACCCTTTTTGTTCCTGCAGCTCTCGTCGTTCGCTTCCTGACCAAACGGTTCATCTGGGAGTACGACCCGACACTAGGTAGGGCATATTGGTCTGTAAGCATGGTGTGGTGTGAATAATAGCATGGCTGAAGCAATGGAAAGTCAAAGAGAAAATTCCAGACCTCTGTCAACCTTTAAATTTGCTGTCAAAAGCTTCTCTATGGTCATTTAAAGCTGGAACAGTTGTTACCTAAGCCAGCACAGCAGAGCAGCAGTAGTACTTGTCTGCCCACACTGAAGTCAGTGGGAATTTTGCCATTAAAATCAATCACTTTAGCATTTAACTTGGAAAATTATTTAGTGTGACATCAGCCTCCTGCTTTGGCATCACCCAAACATCATCTGCTAGAGAACAAAGTGCCTGGAATACCAAAAATTCGGGGGGGGATTCTATGTACTTACAGTCAGTGTACCTAGACTTAGGTAAGTTTTGTGTCCCCACTTTCAAACATACATTGTGTCCCATTCTTGGGGCGACCAGGTAGGGACACCCATCATCCAAAGGGCATCCACTTGTCTCTCCCACTGCTCCCACTTAGTGCCAGGCCCAACGCAGCTCTGAAGAAACTAGTTCAGATATCCAAAAACCTGGCAAACAGTTGCTCTAAACTAGAGGCCTCACTTAAAAATTTGTGCTAGAGTCTGATTTCTTAGTGTTGCTTGAGTTAGCATATATTTAAATGCCCTGCACCAGAGCAAATCCAGGCCAGGAAGATGAGGCACCCACATCTTAGAGGGCACTTTGAATACCTCAGGCCTGAGTGATTCGCACACAAATAAAGGGCTGGCAAATTCCCTTGGCTCCAACAGTGCAGTGCTGTTGCTTTCCTAACATTTCTTTGCAGGCTCAAATACAGATCGTACAGAAGATCTATTTCTTTATGAATGTTCTAAGAAGAGGTCTCACTAAGGAAATAGGGAATGCCATACACTTCACAGCAGAACCAAAGTTTAATGTACTTCACTGCAGGACCCAGGCAGCCCTTTCAAAACAGCAAAGCATCCAGTATTGTGCTAAGTACTTTTGTCTGGCAAGAGGAAGAGATGACAGATACCAGAAATCTCATCTTGGGAGAACAGATCTCAGAACAATCTGAATTCAAACACATTCTTTTTTCTGCTACCATCAATGTATTCATCAGTAAATTATATGTCACCTGCCTTGTGCTGCACAGTGGGATGTTCAGTATAATGTTCTGTTAGCATTATTAGTTTTAGTACTTCATGTCTCTCTCACTATTACATCATTTTAAGAACCTAACAAGAAGTATATAAAGTGTTCTCTATCAGTATAGTGCAAGTTCATTGATTTCTTACAGGGACACTGCATGCAAAAACATCCTTTTTGCCTTGTTCAAGCACACACATGAAGTCATTAGCAAGCTGCCAGGTTTATTATTTTTTGCCCCATTATGAAGGCCTCGTGCCCTTTCTGCTGTACAAGACCTGACATTTGTTTCTCTTTTACAAATAAGTACAATTGCAAATTACCTTGCCCCTCAGGAATCTAACTGTGCTCCCTTTGAAACACAAAGATTTCATGCAGACAAGTCCTATCGCAATAAACCAAAAGCTAAATCTCTCCTGACTTACTGAATTCTACACTGTCGGCTAGCTTTGGGAATAACAGCTTAAATTATGCATTGCAGTCATTGTGATGCTAAGTGCCCTAAGCTCCTTAGATGAAAAGGTTTAAGAAATTCAAGAACTAATAAACTAATTGACAATGTTATTTTTTAACCACATTGATCTCTCTGGAAACTGCCCACCAGAGAATGCTTTTCAAAGTGTTAATCTTCCTAACTACAGATCACAATGGGATACAAAGAAGGTTCTGAAGCGTTAGAAATAAAAAGTTAACCTGAAATTGTAACCACTATTCAGGCCTTCAGAGATCAATCAGAAAGGAACTGTACCTTCAAAAGCTTTGAGAAAGAGGGCTCGAAAGTATTAGTTTCTTTCTTTAGCATGGTCACCCTGTGGTGGTTTGGTAAACCTCACCAAGGTGCATTCACTGAGGTTTGAGCAAAATAGGCTCATTTCTTCTCCAGTCATGGACCAGCTCCTTTCACTGGGTGGAAAGAGGGACGTCTACACGTTCAGCCAGTATACGTGTGAGTTCTGTCAGTGAGACTTGTTTGCCCTACATGGAGAAATAATATTGATAGGACAGGAGTAAACCAGATGCAAACTATCCAGCTAATAAGCAGCAGGAGGCTTTGCCAAAAATCACTGGGGCTGTGACAAAACCGTTGTATTTATGGTTTATTTCTTATATCAGATTTCAACCATCCATTAGGCCTCTGATGTAAGGAATCCCCAGATAGTTCCCATTTTTAGGAAAGCTTTCACCAAGCTGTCCAAGGCCTGGTGGAAATTCAGCATTATCCTAAACTAATCATTAGGGTAAAAAAACCTATTCCTCTTTTAATTCAAGGATGGCACGTGGAATGGAAAGAAACACACCTCGTAAATATTCTTTACTATGTGTCGTGGTTTAACCTCAGCCAGCAGCCAAGAACCACGCAGCGGCTCACACTCCCTCCTCCCCACTCTCCCCCCAACCCGGAGGAACGGGGAGGAGAACAAATACAGTGAAATCTGTAGGTTGACATAAGAACAGTTTAGTAATAATAAAGAGCAGAATGAGCTAAAATGCTAACGGATAATAAAAAGAACAAAATCAGTGATGCACAATCCAATTGCTCACATGCGTGGACGGGCACAGCCCTGTCCCTCCCCCCAGCTCGG